TATATATATATGTGTGTGTGTGTATATATAATAGTAAATAAGATCCCATTCAGGAGAGTTGTTACTTGCTAGCCACTCTCTTTATGACAAAATTATACTTTCCACAATCCAATAATCTCTACTCAAGAGAATGTACCACTGAAAAAATACAAGCTGATATGTAAACTGAGTAAGTCAACTAATAAATGTCTATTCCATTCAACAAAGTTCCACCAACTCATCAACTGAGCTCTAGTAGCTATTCACTCAAACACTCCAAAAGGCTGTGTACAATTGGTCCTAAAACTCACCATGGTGTAGTGCTGAAACTTCATTTACATTGCTTCTAAATCAACAGTACTCGGTGATATTCCTTCCTTCTATTTTATCTCCAATCCTACTATAATTTCAGTTAATCATGTGAACTATTTCAAATTTGCAAAGCCATACTATTTCCATTCAGATAATACACAGAATGAAACTGATCCTGAGTGTTACTACTATGAACGTGAAGAAAAAGAAGGGTCCCCTGGTACAGTTTCGTTTTCCAGTTCAACCAATAGTTTGCTAAAGTAAGATGCAGATATGTAAAGGACAGCCTACTTCCTGACTGCAGTGATTCCTATGAAAGTTACCTTTCGTTGAATCATCCTCTATGGGCTGTTTGAACAACGTAATATCCTTGAAAGTGCATAGGAACAGGACCACCTTCTCGTGTTCATTTCTTATTGGTGCAATTTGCATGTAAAACCAAACGGGAGTTCCTGAAACAGAGAGAAAGGGCAATACATGGGACACAGCCACAGCGACGGCTCACGCTCCCGCCTCCCCTATTCCTTTAGCTGCCAACTGCTATGCCCTGAATTAGCACCAAGACGATAGACTTCCACTGCTGCGAGGAATTAAAAGAAACCTTTAATTTTATATAAGCTACCAATTTTAAAACACGGTTTAAAATTTTTAAAACACATTTTTCAAGCCAAAAAGTAAAAAACTCTAAAGTAAAGTGCAAGGTGTCATTTCACGAGGCAGGCACCTGAAGGTAGTCTTGCTACTTAAGTAAGGCCAGCAGTACTTTCAGGTCTGGACCCCTCTGCTGCCACTGCTCACACCAGCTTCCTGTTGTAGCCTTACCCAGTGCGATCAGCCCAACCTGCTTCTCCCCTCCTGTCACTTTGACAAGTGTTTCCAATTAACTGCAACAGCAGTACCTGACGCTCTGATCAGTGTGCCTTGTGGGGGAACCTGAGGCTGCTGCTGTCCCCAGGTCCTCTCATCAGTCAGGTTGACTTACAGGACACCTCCATGGCTTTGCCTGCTTCCCCTCCACAGAGAGAAGACAGCTACAACACTGGATACCTGATGCACATAGCACTCTACCTGCAACCACTGCAGTCAACCTTCAAGAAAAAATTGTCACTTTCCTAATTCTTCAACGTGACAGGCCCCCTCGTGAACCTCTGCTTCCTGTACCCCTCACTCAAAGCATGAGGCTGCATTCTGCCACCATTTTCTTCAAAGAGTAGTTCCAATACACTCAGATGGAGGAGAGTTCCAGAGGATACAAAGCTTAGGATTTGGTAAACCAGGGACTGGCAAGTACAAACAATAGCTAAGTAGAAGTATGAGAAATGTCTTCAAAAAGTAACCAGTAAGTGATAAAACACTGAGGAGATGCTCCATCAGAATCAAAAGACACATTTCCCATCCTATTTTCACCAAGCCACAATGCACTACAGCCCCTTTATATATCCTATTTTAAAAATATAAAGGTTTTTGTCAGGTTTCGTATTTGGATAGTAAAATATGCAGCTGTTAATAGCCTGTAGGTAAGACTTGATAGCTTCTTTGTGGCTTTTCATACAAAGCAGGAAGCATCTTCATACCTGTATTTCAAAAAGAAGTCACCTCATGTCAGTACAATGGGGATCTTCCATTTAGACAAGATGAGGCAACTCAACTATTAGAAGAAGTAGAAGTAGAGAGGAGATCCCTATGGTAATATTCAGTTCTGGTCAGCAGGTCTTTCGTACGCCAGCCAGCGCACGGAAGGACATGGTCCTTTCCAAGATGACTGCAGAACGAGACAAGGACCTTGAAAAGAATTACACCATCTCCCAAAGAGGCTTCTCCTTTGTTTTCTGTTTCTTGTTTCACACAGTGTATCCAGGAACTGTGAGCGAGGAATACAGTCTTACAAATAACTACCCCGGATGTCATGTACACATCGTACGGCTGTTCTAACACATGGAACTTCAGGAAGAGTGATTAAAAACAAAGACAAACAGTGACTAAAAATAAGCCATCTCCCAAGGTCCTTTAAAAATCGGAACAGAAAGAGATGGTGTTACATTTCATTGCTTCCCGTGAAAACAGCAACTTTTCAAATAAATGCTCGAAGAGCAGGACTATCCTAAAAGCTGCTTTCAAATATCAAGGTAAATTTTTTTTTCAGCTTTTTAACCCATGAGGTCAGCCTTCTCCTAGTAGGCTGAATATCTGCCAAGCAGCTGGTGAAGTACCATTTACAGTCTAGGTTTGTGGGTGTCTGGGAAGTTGGGCAGAAAAACCTACCTCTACCAGACATTCAGAGCAGCCTTTGAGATCAGTTCCCAGGAGTAGCCCCACTGTCCCAGGTCCGCCTGTGCACACAGAGCTATTTAAATCCTCACCCCAGATGTATCGCTTCCTTCACCATAGTAGAAATAGCCCCCTGCTGATCAGAACACTGGACCTAAAGAACAGAGGCTGCAAACCAAGATGTCAGTCCTGACGCATACTACCAGATAACTCTGTTCCCTCCCTTTGCAGAATGGTGTTTAATCTAATTACTTCATGGATGTGTCGGGAGGACCTGCACTGAGGCATTTCCAAAACTGTTTTACACAGATACACAAATTTTTCTAACATTTCAAAAAGTTACAATGTATCTTTTTCAACTGATATTTCAAAGCTTTCAGCTCTGTAAGAATTTTTAAAGCCACTTTTAAGATCTCCATCATAATGCATAGATAATGCCTATCCTTCCTATTAAAAAGTAAAGCCCAATGCACATAATATACAAAAAAAAGTGACAAGAGTGTGAATCAAGCTATAGTTCCAGGGGGGTCTAAGCAGATATCGACACATACACAGATGGTTGTCTGAAAACAACCAGAAAGGCCTGAACAAAAGTCGGATAGCAAGTTCAATCCACTACCATAACCAAACTATCTAAACTGTCCCAGAAGAATTTTGGAAATGTAAATTTCAAGTTATTACTAACATGATTTAAAGTAAGTAAACAAAACAGAATTCCACTAAGGTATTTTTCAGAAACTAAGGACTTGGCTTTGACATTTGAAAATTAGACAAAGATTTGTTTATTTTGTTTAACTAGTATGGGGGTACGCATCTAAGTTGTTCAAGGACTAACAAAAAATTTGGAAAGTAAAGGGGGTTTTGGCATATAAGACACCTATAAATTACCAGTATGTACTGGATCCAGTGAAAAAGACCTAGAAAGCATCTACAACTTGCCATTTCTCTTACAGAAGAAAGAACTAATCATTCAAACTAGATTGTGATATTTGGCTATGACTTCAAACAGATCTCTTGCCTTGGTTCTAAAATGAAAGAGAAGAACATGAAATACTCCTTAAGTAAAATCACTAAAGACAAATGGTCCCACTGTCAAATGTACCGCTGTGAGGCAAGGCCTGCAGTCATTGTTATTCCTCTGTTAGTTTATTAATAAACAAGAAAATCCAATTTTAATTCCAGGTATTCCATATAGAGCAATGTTTTAAGGAATATAGGATAGATCATGATCCACAATATCCAGCTGACACTGAACATAGAACCAGTGTTTCCTGATGAAGCTAGAATGTTTCCCAAACTTGGGGAAAATTTAGTAACCATCAATTTTTACTGAAAGTAATAATGGATTTTGCTATCATGGACCATTAACATGAAATAAACTGATCCATCTTAAGGAGTAACTATTCATTTCAAGAAAGCACAATTTAAGACAGTGCCAAGAAGAAATATAAGTAGATAGCCACACTAAGTAAGCAAATTAGAAAGGGGACTTCATCACTGAATTTACTCATTGGTTTTTCTTTCCCATTAAATTCTGACATTCTATCTGTGTCACAGAACCTTACATGATTACATAGTGGACAACTGACCATCCACAAATCTCATCCTAGGGAATAGATTACAATAATTAATACCAATGTACCAGATGTGAATGTCATCTTCTGAAACTAATGACGACTTCCTCCAGCCATCCACAAAACAAAGTCAAAGCCTAGCCAAAGGCCATGTTCTTAAAGACTCAGCTCAAGTAGCTACCAAAGATTCACGTGCCACATGCATTTGCGTAGAAAGGTAATGGCACATATCCAGTGTGTGCTACTCACCATAAAAAGAAATTAAAGAATTTCTGTCAGTTTTATTTATTATCACAATACTTTAGAAAGTTTATCATTTTCCTGGATGACACACAAAAAAGTAAAATTTAGAAACACTATATAGATTGGGAGAAATATTTAGGAAGACATATATTTGATGAGGGATTAATATCCCAAATATATAAGAAATTCAAACCATTCAATGGAAAGAAAGCAAATAACTTAGTTAAACGAAGGGACATGGACCTGAATAGACACTTCTCAACAGGCAATATGAAAATGGCCGACAGGCACATGACAAAATGCTGAATGTTCCTAATCATCAGGAAAATGCAAATGAAAACCATAGTAGGACACCAGTCATTTATCAGATGACTATTATCAAAATGAGGAAAGGTAAACTTTAGCAAGGATATAGAGACAAGTGAGCCCTCACACACTGTTGGTGTGAATGGAAATTAGTATGGCTCATCTGGAAAACTACATGGAGACTCTTAAAAATATTAAAAACAAAACTACCGTATGATCCAGCAGTTCCACCCCTGGTATTCACCTAAAAGACTTAAAATCAGTGCATCAAAGAGATATCTACACCCCAATGTTCACTACAGCACAATTCCTAATAGCCAACTAAGAAATCAACTTATCAATCAACAGATGATCTGAAAAAGAAAATAAACTATATATTCACAATGGAATACTATTCATCCCTGAAAAAAACAAATCCTAATATTTACATCAGCTGGATGGAACAGGAGATTATGCTAAATGAATAAGAAGCACAGAGAGACAAATACCATACATTCTTGATTTAAGTGGAAGTTAAAGCAATGGAACTCACAGTTAATAGTAGTGCACTGTTAAAAAGTGCCAAGAGAGAAAACCTCAAATGCCGGAATGTACTCCACAAAAAAATAAGTATTTGATGTTATGGATATGTTAATTATTCATTTAAATATTCCACAATGTGTTCTTAAATCATATTATCACTTTGTACCCCATAAATATGTACAACTATAATTTATCAATTTACAACAAAATTTTTAAAATAAGACACACATTTTCTTCCATTCTTCAAAAGACTGTGTATCATAAGTAATATCATTTATTAATTTAATTAAATCAGTAACCCCTCCCTCGGCCAAAAGAAAGACTAATCAATGTCAGCTATAAGGTAGAGGAACTACCATTTACTACAACATCCCACTAAGAAAGAGGTGGCTCATCTCATGAAAGAGGAATACCTACTATTTTTTTTATACAGAAGAACTTCAAAGCAGTTTGACTCGTAGTTGTCAAAAGTCTGCCTGACTTTCTCAATGGTCTTCTTGTCTGTCAGTTCCCCATACATAAAACTGTAAAAGCAAAAATAATGTTTTTAGTTTTGTTTTGCTCTTGAACTGTTATATAAAATCATACAGTCATCTTTTATTAAGTATTTCAATTTGCTTACAAAACACACTGTTGCTCCCACACAACAAACTAAAATATTTAAACCGTTTGTGTATACGTGAGGTTAGCAACATAATGTTGCTGAATACATACACATAATAAAATGTTAAATCAGATTTTTTAAACCATGTTTTAATTATGATTGCAAAACTTCTTGCTGACAGCTAGCTTTGCAAGTCAGATAGATAGATAGATGATAGGGAAACAATATATATATTATCTACATTAGACATTTCTCAACAGATACTATATATATATATTCCATATATATGGAGAGAGAACGAGACAGGGGGACTCCCTGCTTTATATATTTCTCACAGGCACAGATTTCAATTATACTGGATTAAATAGCAGTTTCACAAAAACACAACTCAAATTTCATTTCCCACAGTATATTGACTGTGACTACTACAGTTACTAACTACAAACTTCACTGCTAAGTCTTCAGGCTACAAATAGCTAAACATTTATCACCCATAATCCATTGATTTACTTTCTATGGTTTCAGTTACCCATGGTCCGTCACGCTCCAAAAACATTCAGGGCAAAAATAAACAATGCGTAAATTTGAAATCGGATACCATTCTGAATAGCACAATGCAATTCCACACCAGCCTGCTCATCCATCCACGATGTGAAGCAACCCTTGTCCAGGGTCTCCCTACTCTCCATGCTACGCACCCGTAAGTGTTGGGTAGTCACTTACTAGCCATCCTGGTTATTAAATTAACTACTGTATTGCGATTCTGTAGTGTCTGTGTTCTAGTTAGCCCTATTTTACTTAATAAGGCCCTAACACATGAAAAGAGTGACTCCAGAAATTCAGATATAATAAAGAGAAGTTATAAGATGCTTCATTAAAGGGAAAAGGTGAAAGTACCATAAGATATTTTGAGAGCACGAAAGAAAAGCCATGTTCACGTAATTTTAGTAATGTATTGTTATAATTGTTCTGTTTTATTTTTATTGTTATTATTAGTGATTGTTCTCTTAATGGGCCTATTTTATGAACTAAATTTTATCATAGAATGTAATCTAAGAGAGGGAAGCATAGAATATGTAGTGATTGGTGCTACCCATGACTCCAAGCATCCACTGGAAGTCTTGGAACATGTCCACCAGATAAGGACGAACTACTTTCACTAGCAGATGAATGAGATCAATGACCTATTACATTCTTCCTTACAAAAGCTTGTCATGATTGGTAACCATGCACCTATTGTTTACCCCACACACAGACAGCAAAGCATGTACTCGGCTGCTTCTTCATCTCTCAGTGACAAACAATGTAGCGTTTTACAAAAATGGATTCTTAGAAGCAAGAATCGGTCAATAACATTTTAAGTACACCCAAGGAATGAAGTACGGTAACATTGACCGGGAAATTCAAATTGAACATAAATGAACCTTCAGGAGAAATAAACAATCATGGGGTGCTGCCCCTGCTGCCGAAAGGGAAGCTGCAGTTATACAGCCCCAGGAACTCAGTGAAGGGGACCCATCAGCATCAAAGAGGAAAGTGGCTTGAGGAAAATGATAAACAGGTCCCTGTCAGGCAGTAAAAGCAGATGGTGCATGACAACCAAAGTAGACACATAAACTATTTGATATTGACTGTAATGCAGAAAGTAATCTCATAATTTTCAAAGAGATAGAAAATATGGTCTCTTTGTATCTCAAGTAACATTACGATGAGGCAAGTGTTGTTCAAAGGAATTGCCTGTCTTTTTTTTACAAAGAAATAAAAGAATTTAACACTCAACTGATCTACTATGTTAAATTACTGTATTTTAAATAAATATTTTACTATTGTTTCCTTTGAGTATTAAGTACATATTACATGGTTTCAGTTTGTTTGATCTTTTTTGTAACACACTTGCATTCGCATCATTTCAAATAGGTACAAGTGTGACACCCCATGATTGTTTATTTCTCCTGAAGGTTCATTTATGTTCAATTTGAATTTCCCGGTCAATGTTATCTCCCTTTGCTCTTGTCGCTTTGCTGTCTTCTGCCTCGGAGCCAGCCAAGTATGGACTGAAACCTCCACAAACTGTAAGCTAAATAAACCTTTCCTTCCTTCATTTTGGGCGTTGGGTATTTTGTCTCAGCAACAAGAGAAAAGTAACCAAGACAGGGAACCTCCCTTAGCTAGGATGTTGCTGCACAATGTTATTTTGAGAACAAACCTTACCTCACTCCACTTCCTCTGGCCTGTGTGATTCACCCTCCCATCCTATTAGAGTGGATCCACTTCATGCAGGTCCTGGAGATCAAGAGATGCACTCTATATTATAGATGCGCTGTGGCCATGGGAGCTGCATCACACCTATCCAGAATCCTGCTGGAGTAGTCCCATCCCCTTGTAGCTCGTGGAGACTGGCAAACACGCTCCTGCACTGTACCAGACCAGCTGGGATCCACTGGGGTGGATAAGACATCCTCGTCCCATACAGCCTGTAGAGAGGGACTTTCTAACTCCACTACTACATGCATTGCACCCACAACCCCTGCTTACATCTGAAGACATTATACAGAGATTGCACTAGTGTGTCCACCTGGAACCAGAGCCAACATAGTTTACCAAATTGACTCTCTAGTCTAAAGCTTCTTTTATATGGAAGTCACCCTATGAAATTTATAAAAACAACTCATTTACCAGATGTGAAAATATTAACATAGGGTCACAAAAGTATTTTTAAAAAGTAGTATGATGCATCCCAAGGTGCAACAAATTCCAAAGGAAAAGAAATTGGAAAAATGCCTAAACAAAAATTCAAAAGAATGATTCAAAGGAAGTTCAACAAAATGCGAGAGAATACAGACAAATGATTCCATAAAATTAGGAAGGCAGTTCACAAAATGAATAAAAAATTCATTAAAGAGCTAGAGATCATGGAAAAGAACCAAAGAGAAATCTTGGAACTGGAGAGATCAGTAAGTCAAATAAAGTACACATATACATATGGACCTAATTTTATGAAGCACATGCCATCGGTGCTAAAGGGAAGAACAAGCTATAATACAGTAACAGCTGAGGACTTCAGCACTCCACTTTCATAAAGGACAGATCAAACAGACAAAAAGTCAAGAAAATCAGATATAAACTATGCTACAGACCACACGGACCTATCAGACATGTATAGAACATGTCATCCAACAGTTACAACAAACAATTCGATAAATGGAACACTATCTAAAAGGGACTGTAAACCAGGATACAAAACAAGTTTCAACAATTCAAAAAGAATTATACATCATATATATCTTCTCTGACATGACAGAAATAACTGAAATCAACAGCATAAGGAAATTTTTAAATTGTACAGATATGTAGAAACTAGACAACATGCTGCTGAACAAACAGCATGTCACTGGAAAAAAATCAAAAAGAAATGACAAAATTTATGAAATGTAAACATAAGCACAACATACCAAAACTCAGGGATATTGCAGTGCTAAGAGGGATGTTTATCACAGCTGATGCTTACATCAAAAGAAGAAAGATGCATGCAAGCAAAATTAATAGGTAAGAACAAACCTAAATCAAAATTTATAGATGGGAAGAGATAGCACAGGTTGGAGGAGAAATAAACAAGCTAGAGACTAAAACAACAAAACAAAAGCCTAATGAAACCGAATTGAATTTTGGAAATCTAACAAAATCAATAAACGCTTAGTTATACTAACCAAGAAAAATAAGAGAAGACTCAAAATAAAATCAGAGATGAATGAGAATTACAACTGATACCTTAGAAATACAAAGGCTCATTAAGTACTACTGTGAACAGCTAAACATAATAAATTAGAAAACACAGAAGAAACTGATAAGATTTTGGGAACATGTAAGCAACAAAAATAAGCCATGAAGACATAAAACCTGTGTATATCAACAGTAAGCAGCAAGACTAATTCAGTAATAATAATTTTCTCAACAAAGAAAAAGCCCAGGATCAGATGGGGTCTTAGTTACTTTTCCTATTGCTGAGACAAAATACCCAATACCAAAGTTAAGGGATGAGAGGTTTATTTGGCTTGCAGTTTGTAGAGGTTTCAGTCCATTTTCGGCTGTCTCCAAGGCGGGGCGGAGCAAAATGGCAGTAGGGCAAAGGGGCAAAGGGGTAAAATGGCAGTGGCAGACAGCAAAAGCAACAAGAGGGAGTGTGACAAGCTTCTTTCTGTCCTTTATCTTGTACAGTCTACCGGGACTAGGGCAGCACCAATCCAATCGCTGGACTGATACAACAATCACCCAGCCTTAATCCCAGCACCTTTAATCCCAGCTTTGCACTATGAGCCACACACTCAGCCACGTCTGAAAAAAACCCTATGACACAAACCACAAGACATGGCCTCACTGCTGAGTTCTACAAACTTTCTAAAAAGAAATAATATCAATTGTACTTCAAAAGAAACTGAAAAGTAAGGCACTCTTCATTCTATGAAGACAGTGTTATCCTGATGCAGAAACCAAAGGACAAAAACAGAAAACTACACATCAGTATCTCTGACAAACACAGATGCAACAGTTCTCAAGAAAATACTAGCAAATTAAATCGAACAGTACACCTAAAATATCAGTCGCTATGATCAAGTAGGATTTATCTCAGTGATGCAAAGTTGGTTCAACATCCTCAAATCAATAAAAAAATGTATTACATCCACAAAACAAAAAACAAAACCATATGATAAACTCAAGAGATGAAGAAAACCCACTTAATAAAATTCAATATGCCTTCATGATAAAAAAAAAGAATTTGAACAAATTACGTATAGAAGAAACATATGTCAGTCTAACAAAGGCTATTGATGACAAACCCACAGTAATACACTAAACAAGGAAAAGCTGGAAGTGTTTCCCATAAGATCTGTAATAAGGCATGGATATCCACTTTACCATCCA